TGCGCTCAGGCCACACAGAGCGATTATTTCATACCCAGCGCTTGTGGGCTTGCGCCCACCGCTTGTGGAGTGCAAACGCCCATCGACGCACCACGCGACGCCGCCCACATCATCTTCTGCCAGTTTCGCATGCCTGTCTCCCAGACACCCCGGTTTCAGGGCCGCTATCCCTCTCCCCCATTAGTTGCCAACCGACCATCCTCCCCCACAGGGGCCCCCCAACTCCCTGCTCCTGACCCCTCACACACCCTGGGCGCAAGGCGGACCCCGAAACACAAATACGCGAAAGCGATCAGCAGCGCACCGCGGAGAGCGATTGGGCCCGGGATCATCGCGGCCGGCCGCAGCACGCGGCGCGAAGGACCCAAGAAGCACGTCTCCGGGCCGGGGAGCCCGCGGGAGCCCGGGCTCGGCCTCCGGAACTAGATGGGCAAGCCCTCCGGAACGGGTGCGCGGCCAAGCGGCCGGATTACGGGCGCGGCTCCCATGCGGCTCGTTCAGATCGCATCCGGCTCGGCGGTTGGGGGGATCGCTTGGGCGAGGGTGGACCCATGTGCGGGTCCACGCCGCGGGCGGTGAGGCCGCGATCCGGCCGCGAACGAGTCCGGGAAGGCCAGCGGCGGATGATCTTTTGCCTTGTTTTGTCTCCTGTTCCTTTGGGCTCGGTTCCGGAAGGGCCACGACGGACCCCTTTGGAGCCGTTGTGGCCGCCGACGTGGCCATTGTTATTGCCCGCTGTTGTGGCGTTGCGGGGAGGGCTTGACGATTTCTGTCCAGTGTTTGCTCGCCGGCGCCCCTCCACCGTCAGCTTCGTTTTTCGTTTTCGTTTTGCGTTTTTATTTTTACGTTGCGTTCTGCGTTTCGCGTCTTGCGACTTGCGGTTTTCCGTTTTTCGCTTTTCATCTTTCGTTTTTCGTTTTTCATTTTCCTCCGTTCGCGGTCGGCGTCGCCGACTGTCCTTTGCGGAAATTGTCTCCGGGCCTGTCGGTCCGGCGACCTTCCGTCGCGGCCGGTTTCGTTTCCCAAGGATTGGAATTTGAATTAACAATTGATGCACTGCATCGGCCCCTACTCGTGGTCGCTTGCTTTTCCTGTTGTGTTTGGGAATTTCCGTCCGCTGGCCTGTAAGGAAAGTTCTGTCAACGGAACGTGCTCAACGGAGGCCTGTTTGCCCACTGCAGGACGTGTGGTTTCTTGTCAAAGAAATTCTTCTAAACAGTGATGCAGCTGTTCTGCACCTGTTCTGGGCTTTAAGCAGTTCCTGTCCTCTCCACAATAGACCGTGGCCTAGACCGTGGCCGAGCACGTGGCTTGTCTTGAAGCCATCTTGGCGACAGCAAGCCAGCCTGACTTCACATTCAGTGTGTGTGTGTCTGCAGCGTGGCGTTGTGCTCGCTGCCGAGAGTGTTGCTTAAAACGGAACGTCAATTGATTTTGATATTTATGGTACACAATCTGTAAAGACACTAACGTTTCAGCGAAGGAACTACAGCACTGATTGGATAGCTCTGTTCCTGTTGCAGCAGTTGATAACGATGGTTGAACGGCGGCTGATGGACAATCTCAGCAGACGAGCATCCTCAGGCCAGGTAGGTATGGCACCCGTACTATGGGGCAAAGCCCGATCCTCTGGCTACACATGCCATATTACAGTCCTCTGTTTATCTAATTTTGAAAATGGTGCAACACGGCAGCAGCAAAATGCAGTGTAATTCATGAAAGTTCTGAGCAATACCTTGCAGAGCCTATTCTACCGGCGAAGAAAGCAAAAGCATCTCAGACTGTGTGCATTCAAAGCTGACCAGACTGGCATACCATACCCACAAACTTTTGCAACATAGTCCTTGTTGCTGCTGGGCCTGAACATACTTCAATGCGTGCTTGACTCAACTGCAGCCTTTATTAACAAGCAACTCCAGCAACCTCAGACTACAATAGTGCCATTTTTGCCATCAGAGCAGTCGGTGTGTGTTGAGATGTGTTTGACAGTCCCAGAAACGTGTTGTAGTTTGGAGCAACCCTCGCATCAACACCTGTTGGCCACTGTGCCACTTTACAGTGTCACTGGGGTTGTGTGTATGTGTGTACATCAATCCATTGCTTTCATTTGTTGAAAAGTTGAAAACATTGCTTCTTAGGCAGTGATGGGGGACACCTCCATTTACTTATGCAAATCACATTCGCTGTATAGAACACTTGTTTGTCTCTGCTCATGCAACCTACAAGGGCAGTCGCCGTGATTGTGAACGACAGATGTTTGTGTACTGGGCGCAACGACTGCCCAAGTTCGGCATCCTGCACACCTGTTGACAAACAAGCACTGGCCATGGAGGCCATTGCTCGTTGCTGAATTCCACCCTTAGGCTTCCTTGCAACGTGATCAACACTTCAGGCAGATTGCTGCTGAGCTCCACAAGCAGAGCGTTGTGGCAAATTTCTCCAGCTTTTTCCTCATCTTTGCCAATCACCAGTTCCTTTGTTGTACAAAATGCTAGCTCACATTTCAGAGTCCTTCTGCTTCTTCCCCCCCTGTCCACCGCCTCCGAAAAAGGAACAGAAAAGTTGTGCTCCTTGAGCTTCGGAAGAATGTGCAGTGCAATACAAAGTGCAAACGAACAATTCTGTTGGGACCGACAAAATGGTTGCCGCTGTTATCAGTCTGCATACACGGTGCATCAACACTGGAGAGTGTGTCTTCCACCCCAGTGATCCTCTAACAAGTCCAAACGACAGGTTCGTGGTTGCCCCAATCTGGGCATTTCATGCTTCCCCCAGCTCCTACTTTTCCCCCAGTTCAGCTGCCCTTGCTTTGTCATTGGCCTTTTGCCACTAAGAGCATTGCCAAATTGATCAAGCTGCGTCCCGCGCCTGACCAGCCGTGTGGGTGTCCCAGGAGTGCAGCCGCCTGGGCGGGTGGGGCGACCTGCCACACTGCCTGCTCCACAGGGTGCACCTGATGCTGAAGCTCACCATGGCCCCCGGCCGCCCCCCTTCGGGCCAGCGCGTCTCCCACGCCAGGCTCAGCGCCGCCCTGAAGAGCATGCGCCTCGTGAACCGCCACTGGCACGACCTGGTGTCCAGGCTGGTGCGCAGACTCAGCCTGCCCTGGGGCACAGAGCCCATATCTGGGGACACCATCGCGGCGATCTCCCGCAAATTCCCAAACGTGGAGGTGCTGCAGGTTGGCCTGGGGCTCGGTCCCGCCGACCTGTCCTCCCTGGCGGCCATGTCGCGCCTCACCAGCCTCAGGTTCACTTACCCGCCCCGGGGCGGCGCGGAGTGCGCCATCAGGGGCCTGGCAAACGTCACCAGGCTGAAGGAGCTGAGGCTGGCCGGCTTCGGTGAGATCAACGAGTCTGGACTCCGTGTCCTGACCGCCCTGTCCCGGCTGCAGAGACTGCACCTGAGCTACGGCCCAAGGGAGAGAGTGCGCGATTCGACCCAAGTCGGAGCGTTGCGTGCACTGCGGGGCATGCCGTCGCTCACCTACCTCCGGCTGGAGGCGCCCGCCGCGGTGATGAACGTCAAATGGCTGGCGGCCCTAACGGGCATCGCCGACCTCGACCTGAGCGGCTGCTCGCTCATGGCGATGACCGAGGGCGAGGACGACTTTCCCACAGGGCTGGCCGCGATGGAGAGGCTCACCAGATTGGACTTGGCCGACTGTAACCTGACCGGGAGGGTGATGAAGTGGGCGCTGTCGAACATGAGCCTGACGGACCTCAACTTGCGCAGGTGCGGTTTCTTTGCCGAGGGCCAGCTGAGGCGGCTAGCCGCGCTGACGGGCCTCGCCAGGCTGTCCCTGCAGGGCTGCGCCAACGTGGGCGGGCGCGAGGCGCTGTACCTGTCCCGCCTGGCGGGCCTAAGGGACCTGGATCTCTCCTACTCGGACGTCACAGACGGCGGGCTCCAGATGGTGGCCAAGCTGCCGCGCCTGGGGCGCCTCTCCCTGCGGGCCTGCTCCAAGGTCGGCAGCCCGGGCGCGCGCTATCTGGCCACTATCCCCGATCTCACCACTCTCGACCTGTCCCGGTGCCCGGTGGCAATCGACTTCATCTCCACCATGACGTCCCTCACGGACTTGTCCGTGTCGGGCTGCCTGGCCACAGAGCGGGACATGCCCGGATTGGCGGCCCTGAGTCTGCTCGCGCGCCTGGACCTGGGCGACTGCAGGCTGGTCAAAGATTGCGGCCTGCAGGCGCTGGCGGGGATGGCGGCACTGCAGGACTTGTGCCTGGCCCGCTGCAAGGGGCTGACGGACGGGGGGATGCGGTGGCTGGCGTCGATGCCGGGGATCACAAGGCTGGACCTGAGGGAGTGCCCTGGCGTGACGGCGGCGGGCGCGGCATGTCTGACGGCGCTACCCGGCCTGGTGGAGCTCAGTTTGGGCGATTGCGGGCCTGGGAGGAAGGGGGGAGAGGCGGGGACGGATGTGATGAGCGTTTCGGGCGCCACGCCGCGGTCGGGGGCCGAAGGGATGGTGTGGGGTTGGGGCAACTGACCCGGCCTCCGCGAAGCGAAAGAGCTTGTTGATTTTTAAATACGCCGCGCTCTGAGTGAAACTTTGTGAGAATCACGGTCGATTGGTCTGTCTGAGTGTTTCCTGTTCTTCCTCACTTGGCCAAAGGTTTTCCAGATACGGGCCACGCACGCGGAGACGGAGACGTCTCCTTCACTAGACCGTCCAACCTTGCCCAAGCCTGATCCGTCCAAGCGCCCAGTCCTAACCTGTTTCCGCCACCGTCGCTGTCTCTGCGTATGCGTGCTTTGCATCGGGAGAGTGTGATATACATCGCTCTTGGCGCAGTGTGCATGCGATGCAATATCAAGGGGAGAAATGGAACTTCGTTTGGATGGGTCGCCTTCAGCGCTCCCCAGCGCTGGCGAAGGGATCAGACTTGAAAGGAGTCTCTTCTCTGCGCACCTGTTGTCGCCATTGGGAAGGTGGTGGGTAGAGCGGCCACATGCGGTCGACATTCGAGGAGCTTCCTCCAGCCAAGCACGAGACCAGGGTCTTGAGTACGCACCCTGGGACCGGACGTTTTCAAAATCGATAGTCTCCATCCGTTGAGTGCGCCGCATGAAGGGCTCCAATCTTGCATAGTCATGTCCTCCATCGGAATCATGTAACGGTGAATCTCTACGGTGAAAGCCTCGAGTGGCTGTGTGGCCTCCTCCTCGATGCGCCTGCCATGCTCGGGAGCAATCCGACGCAACCTGTACATTCTGCCGCCACCCCCACGATGGCGGGGCCGCACTCGACGGGCTAAGAGCACAACGTCCCTCGCGCTGCGGGCACCTCTACGGACGGGCGGGTGGCACGCTGTGGTCGTCACGCCCTCCAGTGTTGCCGTGCGTTCCCGAGGCGTGCCTCAAAGCGCGCACGTCTCGAAAAAAGTGGTCCCTCCCAGCACTACATCCCATCCGGGAAAACCCGTCGCCGCTCAGGCCATTGGCACAGCTCATCGTTTGCGTTACATCCCTGTTTGATAATGGCCGCAACAGCGCGGTGACGCCGACAGCATGGGCGACATGTAACGCCCAGACGAGTGGCGGGGCATGTTTATGGATCTCCGCCCCCCAACTGTGGCCGTACTTTCCAGCCGCCCAGGCCCCCCCCCCCCCCCCCGCCGCGATCTGCCTTGCCTCCGAGGCGCCACTGGGGGGCCGAGCGGCAGGGTTGCGGACACCGGGCGAGCAGGGTGCCCGGTCTTCAGAAATATCCGAGGGAAAGGGTGAGCATCGCGCCGTCCCTCCGCAGCGACGCCCATCGCCGTTTCGCGCGCCGCGGGGCGCCCTCCCGAGACGACCAGTCGGCGGCTGCCGCGCTGTGATTCGAATTTCGGGGATTGCTTGTTGGAAGGGGGGCGCAAGGGGGAGGCCCGGGCGCATCTTTTGAGCCCGGAGTGGGTTGTTGATTCGGTCCGGCGGGATCGGCGATGGCGGTTTGTGCCTCGAGAGGAGCGCGGTGCGGATGGGCCGCATGGAGCCGCACGGCATGGCGCGGGGTAGCGGAAATGGCAGAAATCTTGGATGCCGACTCGGCGTCGAAGGGATGAATGTGATTGATGGCCGGGTACGAGGCGGAAGGGGCGCGGAGCGGCTGGCGGCCATGCGGAGCGGTCGAGGCGGGCGGCTGCGGAGGCCAGCGAGAAGGGGGGGGGGGGCGGAATGTGATGCTCGTGTTTGTGTGGGGGATCTGGGGGCGAGAGGAGCGTTTTGGTTTTGGGGCTTGGGAAGATGACGCCTGGGAGTGTCGGTGGGGAATGTTGCGACGGGGGGGATGAGGGACACTTGAGTCGTCCGAGATGGGCGGGAGCGTCGGGTGGGACGTCCGACTCGGAGGTTGTGGGAGGTTTTTGGCGTTGAAGGCGGTGCGTGGCACAGGGGACGGTGTCAAGGGGCAATGATTCGAGCGGCAATGACGCACAGAGGGCGGGCGAGCGGCGGTGGTGGGCACGAGGTGGAATGGGCGCATGGGCATGTGTGGCGCCTCGAAAGTGCGATACGCCGCAGGCTCGGCGGAACGTGCTGATTGCGTCGATGCGACGGAGCGGGCCAGCACTTTGCTGTCTTGCGCGGCGCGGTTGGCGGCGAGAGCGATGGCTGGTCGGCCCGGAGTCGCGGATGGTGACGCTGATGCCCAAGTGGATGATGGTCCAGGCGGCCGCTCGCCGCAGATCTCGGCGCCATATCGGCGCTGTTTGCGCATTCGCTGGCGCATTGGCCGGGACATCGGACGGACTCGCGTCGCGAGGTTTGAGTCCGTCGCTTTCTTCTGCGCAGGTTGGCGTCCTTGGGGCGGCCGACGGCCCGTTGCCTGACTCGCCTTCGCCATGGCGGCCAAGCGGTCCAAGGCGGGGGGCAAGAAGAAGGGGACCAGCGGCGGCGCCAAGGCCAAGCGCGGATCACCCCGCGCGCCCCAAAAGGTACCTCCTCCCGTTCCTCCTCGCCGCGCCCCTCATTCCACCAATCGCCCGCACGTTCGCCTGCCGAGCCGGCAGCGGCGCTCCGCCGCACAGTCGGACCCCCATGTGTGGCTGCCGCGGGCCCATCGGCCACGACTGGCCGCCGCGGCGCGCTTCGCGCAATTGCGCGCATTGATTCCCGCATGACCGCGCTCTCCCCCCGCCGCAGCCTCTTGACCCGAGTTCAAGACATCTACAGATTCAATCAAGCAAAGTGTTGACGAGCTAATCGCCCTCATGCCGCCCAACTGATCGATCCGCATCTCCCTTGGTTCCCCGCAGGCCGAGGAGGCGCCTGTGCAGAACCCTTACGACCGCGTGGCCTTCATCCGCCCCTTCTGGGAGAGCCTCTCACCTGAGGAGCGCGTCAAGCTGCTGACGGTCAGGCTAGAGGACATCCGCGCGCGCGCGGCTGAGCACGCGGAGAGGGCCGCCACGCTCGGTGAGCGGTCCCCCTTTCGCCAACCCCCCGGCGACCGCAATTTTGATTGGTCGTATTTTTGATCGTTTGGCTGCGCAGCAATTCTGTTGGGGACTGACGGCCACCGTCGGCTGCCTGTGTAGCGAGCAAGGGCGTGTCGAGCGACCCCGGCGCGCCGCAGAGCAAGCTGGAGTCGCGCGTGGCAGAGATCCTGGCGCAGGGGCTGGCGCGCGTGGCCACGGAGTCGACCTGGAAAGTGTGGCGCTGGGAGCCCGACGGGAAGCCCTACACGGACGCGGAGGTGTTCCGAAAGGACGTCGAGGTAAACCGAGGCGCCGACCCTAGACACCGGGGGGCCTTGCGCTTCGGGGGCGATCCCCTGGCGACTCGAGTGGAGATCCATTCGGTCGGCGTTGGGCCCCGTTGGTTGGGCGGCGGTCAGCGGGTCGCGAAGCGCGGTGTGGCAAGGGCGATTGGCGTCTTGGGGGCGCGATTGGGAGGTTGGCTTGCGGCTTGAAAGGTGGTTTGTGCTGGGCAGGAGGAGCATTTCAGCGAAGAGCTGAGGAGGCTACTCCCACGCGACGACGGCAAGCCCGTGGAGAAGCCGGCAGAGGCAGCGCTGCGGGAGAGAATGTACGGGGTCCGGGGGTGAAGATCAGCGAATCAATTATTTCCGTCGTCTGAGATCGGCCGCGGCCCGATTGAGTCATTGTGCCAGATTCAGGGCCCTGGGCGCATTCTGTCGCAAACGAGGGGATTGTTGGGGGGTATTTGTTGAGAAAGGGGACGATGAAAGCAGCGGCTTTGCCCATTGATCGAGCCCTGGGCACGCCATGGGCTTTTTTGCACATCTGTGCCTCTGCCACTTTGGGAATGGGGTGGCCGGCTTGCTGCGCAACTTGGCGACTCGTGGCACTTGGCAGCTCGTTTAAAGGATTCCAGTTGCTTCCGGCAGTGCACAGGTCGCACTTGACCGGGGCAGTGCCCGAAATCTGGCAAGAAATTGGATGTGGACGAAAACAACTGTACATCCGTGCAAATGTTGGCGTCCAAGCTTGCCACATCCCCATTCCTTGCGCAAAAACTGATAGTCACCTACAAAACGTCTACTGTATGGGAGCTATGAATGTGGATATCAGTCATTTTGTTTGCTCACAAAACATTCGCCTCCCAGCATCTGTAGTCAAAGGAATGCAGCACGTGTGCCAATATTGTTGTGGATCTGTTTGTGCATAAGGTTTGTATGATTTGCCCTGCACTGTCTGAATTTGCCCAGAATTCCAGGGGCAAGTTCCAATTTGGGAACAGCTGCTCTAAGCATATAATGAGATATTGCCTCCTAAAAGTGAAACAAAATTGTGAATAATTGTCCCCGATTGGCGCTAACTAGGCCCATTGAAGCAAAGGGGGAACAGTTTGGTACGAGCATGTCACCAAACACCACGACTGTGCCCCATTCCATCTCTTACTGGCAGCCCATAGCTCCTTTGCACTGTTACCCTTCTCCCCACTGCCATTTGTGTATGCCTTGTTTCTACATCGCTTCCAATCAGAACACAGGTCCAAACAGAATTGTGGACATCGACGTTTGGACTTTTGCCAATGGCACACATAATCTAAATTGCCTTTGTGAGAAATCTTGTTGATTGTGGTGCTCAACAATGAAGCGCAGTTGAATTGCTGTTTTGCCTCCAACCATGCTTGCTTTGCCGTTGGATAAGCAAGCCACACTGGTAGCAAGCCACATTGGTTGTAATCATCAAGATGCCACCCTCCTAAGGCACCAAACCTCGACACCTGCACTGACCACTAGCCCACACCTCGTCTGTTTGGATGGGAGCAGCACATTGCTTTTGTGTGTCATGCAATGCCTTTAAATGAATGACAAATAGAACTGCTGCACAGACTCTAATTCCGCTCTTGGACCTGCAGGACCAACCTGTTGAACCAGATCCACGTACAGCTGCAGAACGCACAAGATGCCTGGCGGCGTGGCCAGCGCGCTCAACCCGACCAGGGCGAGACTGTAGTTCGTGACGGCAACATCGACCTGGTGATCGCTTTTCTGGAAGGCTTGCAGCAGGAGCATCACTGCTTGTACCAGACCATCCTTACTCCAGTGACAGACTTTGTGTGCGGCCTGGTGCCGCCCAAGAGCAGAAAGAGCAACCGTACAGAGCTGTTTTTTGAGGACCTGGAGAAACTCCCCCCCGAGGAGGTGGCGAGGCTGTACGAGTGGCTGACCGAGAAGGTGGACTCGCTCTGTGCAAAGCTCAAGCCTGACCCCAAGGAGGAGGAGGTGTGTTTGTGTGTGAATCTGTTGAATGTTTTGGCAGAACAACATCCATGGCTCTTCTTGTCCAGAGTCTTGAATCGCGCTTTTGGGTATGGCGCTCAAAACACCCTTCCTCTATAGGCTACTGTAAGATTAGGAATGAAGTCCTAAAAGGCATGCATTTGGCCTGCTCACAGCAATTGCAGGTGCATCTTTCAGATGTGTGGCACTGACCACATCCACAATCTGTGCATTGCCTGCATTGAGATTTTCAGTGGCCAATTGTGCAGATGCCTAGAGCCAGGCGTTGTTTTAGACGATGAAAGCTACTAATCTACAGTTAGAAGTTTGTGCTCTGCATTTCTGTTTCATGGTGTGTCTGCAGCATTCTGTCCTGTTGATGTACTGGGCTCTGTCATACTTGGGGTGATGTTTTCTCTTTCACTTATTTTTCTATTTATTGCTTATGTTAAGAAGTTCCAAGGTAGTCTCTCCTGGACACGTTTTGCCTATTGACTGGACAGAACAATGGCCTGCTCCCGTGTGCATCCAGCTGTTGGTAGAGGCTGCTGCCACTTGAGAACATCATGATGTGCTCGCTTCCTGTCCACCCCCATATGCTTGGCCTTGCCTGAATTGAATGTGGGCATGGTTTTTGACTGAAATTAGTTTTGTTCTGGCAATTGCTTTGGCGATACTCTGGCATGCAGGACATGCATGCCATGTTCTTGCTGCAGCGGGCCAGAGAAGCACAAGAGCTTCACAGGGTTGTTGGGAAAGCCAATGTGTGAGGCATAGAGTGGGTGTGATATGCAGATCGAAGAAGAGGAGAGCGTGGGAGACATAGACCTGTTCTCCCTGACAGAAAACTCTGAAGATCTCACTGTTAATCCCAAGTGGCTGCAGCACCTGCAAGAACGGCGACTCAGCGATGAGGGCCAGCCCCGGAGAGTGAAGGAAGGAGAAGATCCGCACAAGTGAGTTGTCTGACAAGTTGTCCAGCATTGAGCATGTGCACTGTGTTGCAAAGAGGCGCAGACAACAGCTAATCTAGGGCTTGGACACATCAAACACCCTTTCTGCTCACTTTGCATTGGTCTTGATGTCTATGTATTTTCACATGTGTTTCACAGGTTGTTCTACCATCAAGAAATGACTACGACCCATTTGTCCTTGTGCTTGTATGCTTGGCATGGTGTCTGGTCACATCAAATCTCGGCACAATAACCTGCACTCAGTGTAATAGTGTAGTGTTGTGGTTGTTCTGCTTAGTGGCAGTGACGCTGGTCAATGGACTGTCAACGATTGACCCACACTAATAGCCCGAAATGTTGATGAGTTTGGCATCGAAGGTCAAACCTATGCAGAGAGTTGATAGTCCATTGGCTATCACACTAGTCTAGCTGTTGATGCCAACCTGCTTTTCATAAAATTGTGAATTTTCTGACCTTGCTGTGCAGGGTGGGGCTCGTTCTGGAATGGGTGTACGGCTCCATCGTTTCCACAGCTGAAAAGGCCCGGGATGGCGCCAAGCGGGCCCTGGGCTCCTGGCAGCCCTCCAACAAGCAGGCGAAAGAAAACCTGCTGGTGGCCCTCAGGGACCAGCGCGACTGGGAGGCTCGTGCGCGCAAGGCCAAGGAGCTGCTCAAGAGCATGCTGGAGAGCCGGAAGGCTTCTGCTGAGCTGGAGGCGGCCCACAGCATTGTGCTGCCTGGGACTCCTGCTGGGCAGAAGGTGGCCGATCAAACGGAGGAGCTGGAGGATGGGGTGGTGCTGAGTGTGCTGAAGCGGGAGGAGCTGCTGACGCGGGCCAAGCTGCACGTGCTGCAGTACGAGAGGATGATGGGTGACTCACAGCTGCGCACGCTGAGGGCAGAGCTGATGCAGGTGCGCCCTGGCGTGGAGTGCTGGCACGCACTTAACAGGCAAAGTACAGTGACAGATGCAGTCAATGGATCCTGGCGTACCAACAGGAGATTGAGAAGCAGTCAGCTCCCTGTGGAGTCCCCTTAATGCTTGTGAACAACATTGCAGAACCTCCTTACCAGAGTGTTGCGTATCAGTGCAACCAGCAACGAGTTTGCCCTTTTTTTTGAGCCCCTGCCAAGTTGTGCAACAGACCACAGGCGCCTCAATTTCAGTCACACCCTGATCATTGTTGGAGCATGCTTGCACTGATGCTCCATCATCTGGCATTGCGATTAAGGGGGAGCCAGAGCTTGAGCGTCTGAAGCGTGAGCTTGAGGAGGTCAAGAACACACCTCGCGGACTGGAGGGTACCTTCCGGACGTCAGCGGAGAAGGAGCGCCACAGGGCACAGCTGGCAGACTCGCTGCTGGAGGAGCAGCTTGAGGTCCAGAGTGCTTTCCGGGAGCAGGGAGCAAGGTTACAGGGCATCTATGACAAGCGCCAGAGGACTGAGATCGAAATGGCCAAAAGGTGAGCTTGCATTCCCTGATTCTTTGGCTGTCAGGCCTGTCTGTCATGTTAAGGTTGCGTGCATTGCTACCACATTGCTCCTACCACCAGTTGCAGTTGATGTGATTGTAGGACACAGAAACATGGAGTCGTGAACTACAGACAAGATTGGTTTGGGGTTTGGAAGAAAACCAACCATGGTGTCATACTGTTGTGCACCTGGCTTTGATCGTTGCTCTAACATCCAAGTGTGCTTTGTGTGGCTTGCTGTGCTGGAAACTACAGCTTCCTTTGAACACCGCCCGATCCTTGGCAAGGTTGTACCAAAGACGATACTGGAGTGCTCACCTGCATTGTGGTCTGCAAGGCCTGACTTGCACATGTGCTGTTGGTCCAGGGAGCAAGAGATCAGTCAGCTGAGGAGCTGGCAGGGTAACGTGAACCGCCTAATCTCCAAGTTCGATGCAGCTCTTGGCACCCCCGGCACTGGTGTCGATGCAGAGGCCTCCGCTGCCGAGGAAATGGACAAGGCGGGGCCGGCCAAGGATGCCACCACGACTCCGGGGCCTGCGGGTACAGTTGCCAAGGGTGGCAACGAATCCACCCTAGGCACCTTGCGTCAGACCTTCAACAGGGACTTTCGGAAGCAGCTGTATAGCGACGCAGACGACCGCGAGTTCTTCAATCGGATCAAGGCCGAGCTGAAGCAGGTCGAGCGCAGGCTGGAGGATGGCGCCGTTGTGCTGCAGCACCTGGAGATGTTCCTCATCAATGTCTCCTGCGACGACCCAGGTATACTTGATCTGCTGAGTGCAAACTGCTGCTGAATACCTCTCAGCCTTCATTGCCTTATTCAAAGCCCTTTGTTAGCTTCATTATAGTTGTGAAGGAATCACAGATGCATGTGTCTATCAGGCAATAATGGGCACAGGTGTACTGCCATACCTTAGATGTGATGCAAGGTAGTAGGGCTACTGTTGCGATGTGATCCAAGGTGGTGTGATATGGGATTTCTTAACAATAGGCCCCTTGCAACATCCAACTGCATAAAGCATCTGGACAATTTGATAGGTTGTTTGTGCACCATGTCTTGTGAGCTTCCTACAGACCATTGGAATTATGTGTGTCTATCAATATATTCACAAGGGCATGTGCCAAAGAGTGTATGGCTACACATTCAAACTGAAAATGTGGATTGCTCTCTACAGGTGCTGCGATTGGAGGCATCTTGGTCCTGCCTTTGCTTCAGGAGCGACTGGACAAGGAAGCAATGAAGTTTGCAACCCACAAGGCCTCCCTCGCTGAGGAAGAAATTCTTCAAATGGAGGTGCGCTATGCTCCTTGAATTGGGATTTCTGGCAGCTGAAGATCGAATGTACATGCCATACAACGAGGTTTGCTGAGCCATGTGCCAGAAGGAAGCGAGCAAATTGAAGATTGAGCTTGTTCTTGCTGGTTGTCTGTAAGCTGGGGCAATGTTGGCTTTGCACTGTCCCTCACTGCTGTTTTGCATATGCCTTCAGAAAGAACACAACGAGAAAAACGCTGCCGAGGCTGCCAAGGCACAGAAGCGTAAGAAGATGCTGAAAGACAAGCAGCGGATGGCCAAGGAACGGAGGGCGGCTGACCAGCGGGCCAAGGAGGAGGCAGAAGTGGCCGAACACAAGGAGCAGAGCCAAAAGCAGCGTGAGAGGGACATGGCCAACCTGCGCAAGATGGAAGAGGAGGCTGCCCGCCAAAAGATGGAAGAAGAGCGGCTGGTGGAGACAAGGCGCCAGCAACTCATGAAAGAGGAGAATGGGTACTGGCGGCTAAGGATAGAGGCGGAGGCTGCCCCTGCTGAGGGTGCAGATCGCGTACCCAGTGCCAGCGAGCCCCAGGAGGGCAGCGTGGGACCCAGCGACGATGACAGCTTTCAGAGTGTGCGGCGGCGGGCGCAGGAGCGCCGGCAGCAGCAAGGGGGCTACCACAGGCGGGGTCCAAGCAGCGGGCTGCCGCGCTGGGGCAGCGGCTCAGACTGGCATGAACAGAGGGAGCAGGGGGCGCACAGGCGACACAAGTCGGTGGCCGATCTGGAGTTCATGGGACAGAGGCGGGCACCGGCGGGCAGGGACGGGGCTTCTGATAGACAGCAGGGACCCAGGTCAGGTGCTAGGCCAGCCTGGCAGGGTGGCAATGCGAGGATGAAGCGCCAGGATTCTGGCCCTGTTGAGGGCTCCCCTCACGTGCCTCTTTCCAGCAGGACAAGGAGCCTGCCCGCAGTGGAGGGCGCTGCAGTGAGCGGGAAGGCGGCAGACACAGGTCAGGCTGCACCACTGGCACAGAGCCGATCGGTCGTTGATCCAAGGGCCAGCACAGGGGCTCAGCAGCCGGGTCAGCAGACGAGTGCCCGGACGGCAACTGGAACCAGTGCAGAGAACAAGTGCAGAGAAGGGATGTCTTGCCTGCCAAGCACCACCCGCAGGCAAGCCTGGGTAAAGGGGGCAATCCCACCAGAAGTGATGGGGATTACCAAGAGGAAGGATGCCGCCTGTGTGGCCCAGGAGGACAGTGAGAGCAACAAGGCTGACAGCGTCAGCTCCCCTGACACGCCGGATGCCACTGAAGCGGATGCCCCCAGCGTCAGGTCCGACAGCGACAGCTCGCAGCGGGTCGATGGCATCTACGCAGAGCCGAACTCCCTGTCTCAGATCGACAAGGCACCAGAGGTGGGAGGGGATTCTCCCAGCCGGCCCCCCGCCTCGTCCCCTGCCTTCAAGGGCAGCGGCAAGCAGTTCTTTGAGATGGTCGAGGCCGCCCTGCACGATTCCAGCGAAGGCCAGGCTGAGGGCGCAGGGGAGGGGGATGCCGTAGGAGAGCCTGATGCAGACCAGGCGGGCTGTGAGGCCCCACACCAGCAGCCCAGCTCCGGCAGCCCGATGGCCATGTCCCCAATGGGCCCAGTTCCCTACGGGATGCCCATGTGTGGCCCCATGGGCCCAGTGCCGGGCATGCACCCAGGGATGTACTCCCACATGCGCCACACGGGCCCGCCCATCCAGCCTGTGATGCCTATGATGATGCCGCCATACATGCGACCGCCAGCCACTGTGCCCACATCCAGCCCCACCTCTCCCCCCTCCAGCCCTGCCTCTGGCGCCGCCCCGGCAGCCGCCTCGCCGCGAGTCAGCATGCCACCTCGGGGCGGCGCGGCGCCCCCCAGGCCCAACATGCCCCCCGTGTACTTCTACCCGCCGCACATGATGCCCCCGGGCGGGGCCATGATGCCGCCCTTCATGCCCATGGTCCCCGGGGCCCAGTGGATGGGGTACCCCATGGGGCCCCTGCAGGGGCTCCCTGGCAACGACCGCAGGGTCAAGAGCTTCGCCCTCCGCCCGGAGGCCAAGGAGTTCATCCCGCCCAGCATGATGGCCGCGGAGGAGGGACGCAAGTCTCCGGAGTCCGCCAGCGGCAGCAACTCCAGCGGCACGGACACGGACGGGGAGTCCAGCAGGTACGCGGCCAAGGGGGAGGGCACCGAGCCGCAGTCCGTGGCCTCGTCGCAGGGCACCGCCTCCGACGCGGACGAGACCACGTTCATCGAGGTGAAGGGCGCCGGCATGGGCGGCTGCAGCTCCGAACAGGAGCCGTCCGGCCACGAGTTCCCGGACGCCGCCAAGGCCGTGGGGCAGCCCATAGAGGGGAAGGCCTGAGAAGAAGCACAGTCGTTTTGCGTTTTGAATTTTACGCACGTCTTTGAGATTTGGCCGCGTGGCCGAGACGAACCGGTGTTGTTAGTTGCTGGGTTGGCGTGGGTCGAGGCCAGCATGAGGGGCCCCCAGACTGGCCGTCGTTAAACCCCGCGGAAGTCGAGCCTGAAGCTGCAGACTCCGGGATTTGGGATTGGCACACACCTGGGTCAGTGCACGCCGGGGGGACGCTGGTGCCCTGCCGGCCGTGTGTTTACAAAGGTGCTGCCGCTGCTGGCCGCACGGCGGTCAGAACAAGAAGTGGGGTAGCAAAGTGCTTTTTTATTCGTTTTTCTGGTTTGTGCGTTGAGAACTCAAGGTGATGAACTATGATCGTGAGGGCTTTTTGGCGCAGCCAAGGATTTTGGGGTGCGCTCCCTGGCCATTGGTTGGCATTTGACCATTGTTTGTGATTTTTTTGTCGACGGCCGGGTCAGGCTCGGTTTAATTTGAATGTGGTGGCGTGATGGCCAATGGCGTCTGCGTGTGTGACAAGCAGCGCCGGTGATGTCTGGGGGACGGGCTTTTTTCATTCCGTGGGAAGAAATGGAAGCAAATGTTTGGTGTGAAAGAGACACGCGTTTCATTGCCGAATTTTGAGACGGGGAAGCAGAGGAAACGCGCAACGTGGATGATTTTGTGGCCGGGAAAAGAATGAGCAGCCAGAGGAAAACTTTATTCTTATTGTGGCGGGGCAGGGCAGGCGCCAACAGCATGCCCCCCAGGGAGGGGAATCGGGGGGAGGTCGTGGTCGGCCCCTCAAATTTTGCTGTGGATTTTGGACTGGGAGGGAATCAATGTTGGCTTTCGAGCGTGGCGGTGGCAAAGTGCGGGAAATCATGGCCCTCCGGGACAGTGATGGGGAACAATCACGGGAGGGCGTCGCACAGGGCTGGCCCGAGTCTGGCTGGTGGGCTGCTGTGGTGTGCATCCACACGCCAGGCTGGGGCTTCATTGGCGGCACCCGCGACTGAGTGTGCCGATATCGCAGCGTGGGCGGGGCACACTGCAGGGGCCCGCGGTGCATGTGCGTGGGGCTGGGCAGTCGGGAGGGGGCGTCGTGCCATTGTCAGAACTTCACGACACTTTGCACATGTACCACCGGCGCTTGTAATTGATGTGGAACTCGAAGCTTCGAGTCGCCTATTGGTTGCAAGGGTTTTGGAGGCGGGCTGAATCTGTCCGCCAATGGCACCCGTTCTTCCAGCCACGGCCCTTGCTCAGTGTCCGGGTCACAGGATGTCGTTCCATTGCTGGCGACGAGGGGGGAGGTGTTGTACATTGACGCAGAAGTCCTGCCATGCCGTTTAGACGAAATACCACATGGACAATCTTGCTGGTGGGATTCCCCCAATGGCGACATTGGGATGGATGCCGACGATGCTCGAACTGGCTTGGTTTGTTGTCCTTTGTGGCTCACCAAATTGAGTCTCTGTCCCACAGTACTTTGGGTAGGTAAAAGTCCAAAGGTTGTCCAAGGGTGGGCTACCTGAAGCTTGTTGCCTTTGGGGAGTGGTGACGTCTATTTGACCACCAACCTCGACGCCTCACTTGCTTGGCTTCCCCAACGCTTGGCACATCCCGGAGTCTCATAGTGGTTTGCGAACCCACACCGCTCTGGCCAAGTTTCCACATGAACCCAGACCTGTGCAGCAATGAAATTGCCAATCCTGTTAATGGGTTTCTGCCAAGGGAGACGACGGGCGGGCTGCGCTGGTAATTCAAATGGCGCAGTTTGAACCTGGGGCTTACTCAGCCCCCATCCCTTGGGATTTCTGGCCACCCTAGTATTGTGGGTGAGTAAGTGTACGAAAATGCAAGGTGCCACTAACCTTGGCGCCCTCGGGTTTGGAGGGCTTTGGCGGGGCTGAGCGGGGGCGGCTATTTAGGCCCCCCCCCTCAATCCCTCTCCTCGTGTTTCCACCTCACCGGTCTCCTGAACCCTCCCGGTCATGTTTCCCACACGACAAGACATTACAACAAAGGTGTCCGTCACCAACAACTCCACATACCCAAGTTCCTTGTACTCAACAGTTTGCCTATTCACTTTCCAGGGGCACGGGATGCACCTCCGGGGCAGAGAATGTGCCCAAACTGGGCTCCAAACTGAGCTTTGGAGGTCGCGGGTGGTGATAGTCATCCATCCGAATAAACGAAAGTCCCACTCAGTGGGTAAACGAAAAACAACCACGTATGACCACATCGTGTCAGACTTCCACCCATCCCAATCCCGAATGCATCGTTCCGCAACCTCCAAAGCGAAGTAGCTGGACGCACCCCCGCCACGGAGGCTGCGGTGCATATAAGTTTCCCAGGCGATGGCGGGGTGGCAGGCTAACAAGCTCGAAAACCAAGCAGCCACATTCTTGGCACCAGGGGAGGCCTCGCCGGGGAGCTGATAGAAATGGCGGGGCGCTTGGTCCGTCTGCACCCAGGCATGGTCGCGGAAAGCCGTCCAGCAAAGAATGAGATCGACGACCTCCGGGGTGCCTTGGGATGGCCAGGACTGGAAGCACAATCGAGGGGCCGCATCCTTGTGCAGCTTGGACTTGCGCTCCCAAAAAACGATGATCCCATCCTCCACCCGGATGTCCTCTGCCAAAAACAAATGGCCAAACTGCGCCCGATTGAAAAAGATGTAGTCGATGTATGCCACGCACCCAAAGGAGGGCCCCGTCCTCCGTGGTCACGCCCACATCGAGGATGCGAATCATCACCTCGATTGGCACAAGGCGGTGATGTTGCATGGGGGCCGGCACGGCGTGGCGCCAGGCGTGGGTGAGGACACGGGTAACCGGATCAAAAGCTAAAAAGCCAAAGTGCCCGGACATGTGGTGCACCATGGAAATGGCCACAAGATATTGCGGCAAGAAACGAACGCCCACCTTGCCTTCCTCCCGAAGGAACCGAATATAGTAGTAGATGGTGGCGCGGTGGGCGGGCAGCAACGCCAATGCATGTGCCTCGCAAAAGGATTGGAATCGAAAAATTTTTTCGCCTGCATTGTCCGCCGGGTGGCCTCCATGTAGGAGGTGAAGAACTGTTGCGCCATCCAGCTGCGATCCTTGGCCAGCAGACCGTTGATTTCGGTGCCGTAGAGAGGATGGTCCTCAGGGACCGGGTCCAAGGGGAACGGGTCCAATGGAGGCTCACCGGTGGGGGAAGCTGGAGCCTCCGGTTCACTAAGAGCATCGGCCGAAGGAGGCGCCTCTTCCCCTCCAATCACGTCTGCGGAGCCACATGGAAGGCGGAGAAGGAAGTTGGGCGGCTCGGATCCCCGGGGAGAAAGAGGTCGGGTTGGTGGGGAATGAAGATCTCCTCCGGCGCCATCGCCCTGAGCTTGGGAAACCAAACCACGCTCAGCCAGTCCGGCGCCAGCACCACCACATCCAGCAGTGGCCTCAAGCCGAGGAAAGCGACAAGCTTCGAGAGGAGGCTCTACGGGGGACTGCACTAGCTGCGCGTCCCCGTCCAGTTTTGTGCGAAGGCGTCGACACCGGACGTACCCACATCTTAATGTTGATTGTTGTAGGCCGCACAAAGGGCATTCTGGGCGGATGCAAAGCGTTCCATAGAACAAGACCTGAAGAAGCTGACCACCTCTTGGAATATGCGAGGATTCAACCGGTAGTCTTCCGAAGTCCATGTACACGAAAGCCTGTCTGGTAGAATATTGTCGGCCGATGGAATATATTCCGGCTCCAAGAGTAGCTTCTGAATTGCACAAATAACTTGCAACTGGCGAAGGGGCCTTAAGAAACTGCCGGATTTGGTAGTCATCGAGTTGAGGCAGTGGAAAACTACTTGGTTGTCCACCAACAAGCGAAGGCGGCGGGAAGTTGTGGCACTGGCAAGGAAAGAAAGAGAGCAGGGCCAAGTACATGGTCTGCATTTTATGGACATTGATGTGAGTAAGCTACTGATCAAAAAATCCACGGGCGAGAAGGGGGTGATCACCCCCGGTTGGCGTAAAGGTGGCCCCCCAAACAATGAGACTTGCATCTGTGGCGATGGTGCCCGCCACCTCAAGGGAAGCGGGATTCAAAGACCTGCCTGCCAAGCGGCCGATTTGGGCCCACGCCACCAACTCCAATCGAGCTTTGGTGTTCAATCGGAGACAATCTCGCCAAGAGTGCTGTCCGCAGAAAAGAGAGTATAAACCCGTCAAGAAAAAACGAGCCAACAGAAAGCCAAGTGTAAGGAAATGGCCGAACCACAAAATCTCGGGCGACGATCATGCCCATTTTGCTGATCTATTTGGCCCGCTGAGAGATGGCAACAACCTTGTCTGGAAGGACCTGAAATTGGCACCGATTGGTATAGATCACGATCCCGAGGTGCTTTTTATGCTGCACCAGCTCCCACTGACACTTGTTCTCCTTGAAGGCTAAACCAAGCGTCACAAAGAGGCAGTGTACCAAACTAGACCATTGTTTCAACTGATCAGGATCTGCCATCGAGGCAATGAAATCATCCAAGTAGGCCCAAATTAATGTGGGAACTGCCCGCGAGTACTTTAGGTAGTACTGCAAAATGGGAACGTCACCTGCTAAGCGACCAAACCAAAACCGATTAGCTGCCTTAGGACAAGAGCTGGGGGTCCCTAAGAGATATACCACTACCAACATCAGCTGTGTGAAATAAAAAGAGGAGAGTGCCCAGCTAAACGGAAGAGCCTGATAAGCAAAGGTCTCCCCGCCCAACCAAAATTGCAAGAAATGTTCTTGATTGAACCTCATTCAAATATGATGGTAAGCATTTTTGATGTCGAAACCCACTAAAAAATCATGCTTCTTCAAGAGAAAACCGAAATCCCGGAGCTTTTCATAACAGAGACCAGCCTTCTTGAGGTGGCGATTGATGCGCCAAAGGTCGATGACCAAGCGGTCTTGTTCTTCCCATTCTCTGCTAGATTGACCACCAAGAAAATGTGCAAAATCCGGGCGTCAAAAGAGGGGTCCGTTCGCATGATCACTTCCATCACGAGGTACTCGTTACACAGTTCCAGCCAGGCTTGCCACTCCTCCAGAGTCTTCAACGGGAGGGCCCATCAGGCCCCATTGAAGTGAAGCCCCCGTGTGGATCCATTCAAGGACCCAAGAAGGGGCGCCGATGCATCTCCATGCAGCAAGCCGGCCCCCGAGACGAGCATAGGGAGGATCCACTAGGGGGCGGACTTCGGCGGTTGTGGCAGGGCGCCCAAACCCACCGGAACCTTGGGCGTCTTGCCTTTGCAATGTCGGGTGCCGGACGTGGATGCGCCAGAGGGGCCAGGGGCGGGAACAGCACGATCGAGGCTGGCTTGATTCTTGGCTACCACAGACTTGGTCGCCAACTTCAGCTGTTGATTGAGGACCTCCTTTTGGATGTGCTCCAGTGGTTTGCCGATCAACGGGTCCCAGAACTGCCGATGCACCGCGCCCAGCCGAACGTTGGTCTAGAGCGCAGGCCACAACCCATTGAGGGACGTCCCTTTGTGCTACCTGTGGACTTGCTGGAGACGGATCAGGCCCTGCAACCTAGTCATGATCACCATCAGGGCGTGGAGGTATGGCAGGAGGGCGTCCTGAAAGATGGGCCGGAATTCTTGATGAGCCACGAAGTCGATCAGTGCGGAGGTGAGGTCGAAGAGCCACACGACGTAAGGTGCCCAGTTTTGGTCCTCTTGGAAGTAGCCAGAGTTCGTCCCAAGCGCCTGCGCGAGTTGTGCGCTTTCGGAAGTCCGCCGCATGTCGAACCCCTCGGGAAAGCGGAACCCTGGAGGTCGGACCACCGGGTTGGTGATTGACCACGGAAAGAGCCAGGGGTCCGGAAGCCAGACGGCGTTGAGGGAAGCCATAGGCGGACCGTCGTAAAACCGGACGGCTTGTTCTTGCAGCCACTGCTCTGCAGGTGTCCGGTTCATAGAGAGATCTCGGTGAAAACGGCTGGGAATGGAAAGGCACTCGGTGCCTTCGGGTTGTGCCAACAAGTGGCACAAAGCGAAACAAGATAAGAGGGGGACCCAGGGGGGAGCCTAAATAGCCGCCCCCGCTCAGCCACGCCAAAGCCCGCCAAGTCCAAGGGCGCCAAGTTGACGGCGCCTTGGAAGCGACGTACTTTGACTGACCAAAGGGACTAGAAGGGCCAGAAACCCGTTTGAATACAACTGCGACCGATTTGAATCTCGGCGCAGCCCACCCAATGTCGTCCTTGGTGGAAATATAGTAACAAGATAGTTAATGGCATTTCGCACCAAGATATCCCACCCTAGAGAGTCGTGTTCAGTTTAGTTGTTGGATGGAGAGGCAGTGAGGGGAGTGAAGTAAGGGATTAGGGATCTGACTCATCGAGTAAGTCACTGGCTGATTGGCGCTAAGTACTAGCGAAGCGAATGGCAAACTTGACGGATGGGGACTTCGGGTACAGTACAATAAATTGTGGTGAGGTTGTAAGTGTTTGCCATGGGGGAATACATGGCCAGGTGGGTTCAGAAGCCCGGTAAGGCAGAAATGGCTGCGGGAACAAGTTGTCCAGTTTTCTGGCAGCGACCCGATCGGGTCCATTGCAGCCTGCCAGCTTTCTAAGTTTGTGTGTGCCATTCTCACCGCTGCATCAGACTGCTGTATATAGGAGTCCGTGTGGGCGTCCGCTTGCTCCCTCACTGTATTGCTGCGATTTCCATGTGACTCCACGTGTTAGTCATTTCTCGCCATTCGACAAGGTTAACTGCATTTTGATATAGGTTTGGAGGCGCCAAGCTCCCAAACCTTTGTGGCAATGGGGCCCCACCCCCAATCAACGCCAAGACTGCAACAGATGCAGCAGTTCTATGGGTGGGCTGTGCAGCAACCATCCGCTGCATTTCTTCAGCCGCCTCGGAGCTGCCCCTCGACTCTCGCGGAAGAACTGCGGGTCCCAGCCTGGGCGTTTGTCTTCTGCATACTATTTCCAATGCTGACCACTGAGAGGCGGCGACCGAGATGGATGGGTCGCGATCGGGCGGTTGGGCGTCAGAGTTCAGGGTTTAGGGAACGTATTGATAAGGTCTCGACCTCCCTCTCGGTATCAGTTTTCAATATCGGGAACACACTTAACTTCCCAGAGTGCACCAGAACAAGCCCGAAAGGTCGCCGCCGCCGGTCGCTGAATCACCAAGGCAGCGTTTGCCTTGAGCGTGAGCACCCAGAGGTGGCGGGCCCCGTGCCCTGCAGGGCAACATGCCCAGTTCACGCCCAGACGAAGGCGCACAGCGCCTTGGCAATTCTACTCTACGCCCAGCGAGTGCGGCTCCATCCCAAGCATCTTTCAGGGTGGCTGGCTGAATTCCTTGCTCCACAGCTGAATCCCCCACGTGGAGGCTGCGGTCACCCAGGGGGCTCCCAGGGCCGGAAGAGCTTGTGGGGAGCTGGGCTGCGGCGATGTGGGCGTGCGTTGACGCGTGCTGCATATCAATAGAAAGGGAAATTTCGTTTGTTTGGCGAACATCGAAACCTGCATGAGCAATTCGGGGCACCTGCATGCTCCTGGTGGGCTCCAAGTTTTTAACGAGCGCGATTTGGTGCACGTCACTGGGGGAGTCTTGGGTTGCAAATGACATGCCGATTCAATTTGAAATGTATTGTCTATGTCCTGCGGAACCATGCGAGCAGGTGGCGGAGGCCATTCAGGCATGGGAATTGCCAACGCATTCGGGCCCCACTGGAGTCGCGATGCTGTTTCGGAGGCGATAGCATGTTGCTGGCTGGACAGATCTTGGCGTGTTTGGTGCAAATTTCATCCCTCAGCGCCACTGTACTCTTTGGCATGCATGCAAAACGGTGGATGCAGGCACCGCGGTTTTCCACACGCTTTGCATTCCAAGTCGAATTGGCAAAAGAACTCTATTACCCCACCCACCCAACCATTCCACACGCCCGGCAGCACCAGTGACCCTAATGCCTGTGTTATACAAAATACAACGCTTTGCAAAATCGATGGGTAAATCCCAGCATGGTGAGGAAATCCTGCGAGCAGCATTGCGACTTCGCCATCCCCAAAGCCTGGCTTTCCGTTTCACACATATGCCTTGAGGCCAAGATGCGCTCGGCAGCCAGGGTCATTCAAAATGCTCCTTACTAGAACGCAGAATGGCGAGCCTTCTCTACTGAACAAGCGATACTGTGCGACAAAGCGTCCCGCGCAGTAGCAGTGCAGCAACTGCCACGGGCGACCGCACCTCACGAAACACCCACGGTGTTGCTCCCCTTACCGAAAATTCTGGCGCCTCGACGTCCCAGAACACTACCCCTTTGCGGCGCAGGGCTGCGCGCTGAACCGCGATAAGAGCTTTCGGAACAGAACCCTAAATTAGAGTTAACGGGACAAAACCGCTTGAACCCCGCGCAGCGCCGCCATTTCGGCATTCCACGCGCGCAAAACAGCAGCCTGGACCGGCACCCACCGCATGGCCCGGAACAGTGGCCTTCATGGCCCTCGGTGGCGACAGTCCACTTGAAAGAATGCGGAGCATGGAGCCCCGCGTTCCCGCCCCGTCGAACAAATCACCGGTTGGAGTACTTCTTCAGCGTCAAAACTAGGTAGGCAAGAATGAAAAATCCGGCGAAGAAGGCTCCCTCGATGCCAACATATTCCCACTTGTTCACGCCATCGAAGCCGTAAAACTGCAGCACGGTCATTCTGCTCCCATCTCCTGCAGGAAGGAGACAAAGAGGTCTCATGCTGAAGGCGTGGCTGACGGGTGAGGTCGGAATTAGGACGTGGAACAAGGCGAATGCTCCAATTGGCCTGGACCCAGAATGACCTTTGCTGATAACACACTTAAATCAAAAGTTGTACAAGCAAGTACTGTAAGCTACAAAGTCTCGTACCACTTCTTCCAACGAGCGTTTCATACTATTGGAACTGCGTACGTGCCTTTTGTACGTAATCGCGACTGTCCGATAGTTCTCGGATCTGCGTTGCCAACTGCTGTGAGGTGGACTCAACAGCCGCGCGCCTGAACGCAGAGTCACCCGCAGCCAATGTGTTTGCGGCTTTGAGCATCAAGCGCAGAGCACGCATGGATGCATCTGCGACCTCGATTCTGCCAGCAATGAGAGCAGGTGGGCATGGACATATCAAGGTAAGCTTGGGGCTACGTGTGCGCGCACAGACAGTGCACATGCGTGCATAGGAATGCTGATTCGTGAGGACACCTATGCATCTTTGACACAACGACGTCCGTTTCCGTCGCCAAGCCGAAAATGTGCGCTCGCATGTACAGTGCAATGCACAGCAGCGCAGAGTAACAAAGGTACTGAGTGCTTCGGCACCGACAAAGGCAGGAAAGGTGTCGAAAGAGTGGTGTGGAACACAAAGATTTGGCCAAATGTGATGTGACCAAAGGTCGAATACCCACGTTGTGTTCAGTCTTATTGCCTGGTAAGTGGTAGGATGAAATTCTTTCTTTGCGCCTTGTCGCAGTGCCTTTGATAATCGTGCTGGGTGGGGGCGATTCACAGCATCTGCCGACTTGGGAGCAGAACAATGCAGTGGAATAATCTGCAGCCGTCCATTTTACTCACGTATGTATGGCATCAAGTTTGTTGGCTCACAAAGAGCCGGCTAGTCTGATTATATGTGTTTTGGAGGTGGACAAATGCATGATTCACTCACACACTAATTCTCATTTAGAATGCGTTTGTCAAATGGCAGAGCAATAGCATTTTCAGCAGACTGGTGCCGTCGGGCATGTACACATTTCCGTACCAGCAGGAAATATCATTTCTGCGATACCAGCTGCCATCCCATTTTGACAGTAAGTGGCGCCATGCAGTGACTGCGATGGCATAAAAGTAGCTGTGATGGCATCAATCAATTCCAAATGGCATCACAGGTGGCATCGCAAAATATCGTTTTCTACTTGTGTTGAGACCCAAATGGGGTCACCCAACGCACCGCCAGTGACGATGCACGCCTCGTTGTCAGGTTCCTCCCCACAGTCGATATCGGCGTCCCCCCACTGGTTCACCATCTGGGCGCCCCAGGCGTACCGCACGAAGGTGAGCTTGGAATACCAGAACCAGTAGGAAGGGATGTTGGTGGCGCGGATGAGGAAGCCGGAGAACAGGAGGAGGGTCATGCCGTAGGCGGGCAGCGCCGCGTTGGCGACGTCCATGTTCGGGGACAGGGCGGCCACCAAGTATCCCAGAGCTGGGGGCGAGCAGTGAAACACACATGCATTCTCGGACTGATGGGACATTGTCGAGCAAGTCAATAGTACTTCACAGTATGACTTACAGAATCACTTTACACCATCGCCTTTGAAGAATTGCTTGATAGCATTCAATGGAAGTGAATGCCACAGTCAAGAAGGGGGGAGAGGTGGTGATGAATTTTTGCGCTGATTCTCACGCACATCCCGTGGCCCCAACCTGGATATATATCCTCTCGAGCTGTGCACGAGGTGATTGCCACAAGGGGTACTGCTAATGAAATGATTATTCACGCTTTCAAGGCGGAGATACTACATCAGCCCAGATCCCGCGGCGTCGAATTATCCACAAGTGACCTCTGACACGGCACTGTCTAAGTACAATGTCCTGCAGATACATCTGCGGAGGACAGAACTGGAGCTGACTTTCACTATTGGGACACCGCCTTTCCAGAGGCCGAGGGGTCTCTCGCAGAACAAGCACTGTTTTCTACACCAAACGTGCAGGATATTGCCACCGTCGCGAGCAACGCTGTTACCAAAACCGCCGACACTGTTGTTTTCAGCACATTGCAGCGCCCTTGCTTTTCCACCAATGTCACTGTCTTCATACGTAATGGAAAAGCGATTGGCAGTTTGCACATATGCGCCATATTGACAAATCGTGATTGCGCATTCGCCGCCGAGCATGCTTATAGGCAATGGTCCTCCAGTGCTTTGAAGCAATTGTCAAAACATTCACCAAGGACCTCAAACAAATTAGCTAGTGTCACCAATAGCCAGTGTTGCTAATCGTTCAAACAAATGGGGGTAAACCTGTTGTAAGAAATTTGTTCTGTAAAAGGTCGGAAGTGCCGGATGCAGCACTCGAGCCGCACTCACCCACTCCCGTCGCCAGCGTGACAAAATATACGCACCAGAAGAGCAGGAAGCTGCCTTGCAGCTTCACCTGCCGCCGCGTGCCAACAGCGACTCAGAAATGTTCCGACAGAGAAGGCCCAAAAAACAGTGATTGCATCAAATTTCCGCTGGCATGAACGGCATATACTTAATGATACGTCCATTTTTGTACGAGCGGAAAATCAGGGTTCGCTTAAGCCGTGAAAAGCATATACTGATGGTGTGAACAGCATTTAAGTTCGGCCAAGTATTTGGTCATTTGGATTGAATACACAAGGACAACTAAATGTACATAAATCCCGAAATCTCAGCAGATGTGTGCCTGGCGCTTTTCTCCCACCCAAGTACCAGAGCAATGCCAGCAGGTAATATGAGAACAACAAATCATGTTTACCGCGATCCCTGCACTGCACCATTTTGCGCCACATTCATGAGCAGTAATACATGTCGTTTATCAGGTCAGTTCTGGAATCACAAGTACTTCGTTTCTACGTAATCTCTGGGAACAAAGGAGCGCGTATTTGACGCGAGGCACCAAGTGCTGTATTTTTCCATGTGCTTTGGATGATCGCATCAACGATTTCGACCCTGAGCAAGATTCGCGCTCATTCCTGCTGTTCAACCGATTGCATTGAGCACAGTTTTCACTTTGCAAGGTGGCCTTTGGCACGAAGGCCTCCTTGACCACATTTTCAATGTAATTTTTGCCAAGTACATTTAACATAACATTTAGCTTGTTCGCGCCATTTACATCATAAAACGAGATGACAAGTGCGCAAAGCTGTGGACCAAAACTCAAGGGACTCGAAAGCCGCTTGCTGGAAGTGCAGAAAGACTACTTTTCTTCTTTTCTTCTAGTATTTATTCTATTTACTCTACTATATATTATCATTTCTTCTATTATTTTTCTTCCATTTTTTCTTTCCAGCCCAAAGCGTTAGAGCGAAACACAATCCCCCTTGGCTGGCGCCCACTCGGAAGTATGGGAAACAATCAGGAAACGAAATAGCCATGATAATAGCAATCAACGAAAGATCTAGCAAAATTCGGCGAGCGAGACTTAAAACCAACATCTGGTAATGCATGATAGCAAATGTTGCCCAAAGCACAGCAATAAATATGCCATATTTATTGCTGTCCTAAAGCAGCACTTGTTATCATGCGAAGCTGCAATGAAGTAATAGTGCTGACATGCAATTTGTCATAGCCAAACTCACGCGCGCAACATTTTGTCGCGCGTGAGTGTGGCAATGGCAAACTGCATGTCAGCGCCATTACTTCGTTGCAACTTCGTTGTTTCTGTACATTCTACCCGTTAATTTTTCATGCACCTACCGGAAAAAATACCATTGCGCCGAACACCGCGCTTGCCACGAGAGTTATCATGAGCTCATCCAAAATTTTGGCCACGAAATATCTGCAAAGCAAAGGTCAAATGTATCAAGCTCTAAATCAGTAAGTTGTTGAATTGTAAAGAACTCAGCAGCTGTTGCAACTGCTGAATTAGAAATTGGCGACTTGGGAAAGGCAGCTGAGGATCAATGCGCCAGAAATGCTTGCGCCTTCCAATGGCGGTGCTGTTCATTTAAAAGATGTGATTATATGCTTGAATCATGTTGAACTGCTAGCCGTCGTATATTGCACTATCAGAATTCATCATGTTGCGATGCCAACCGCGATGCCATTCCGAAACAAGATGGAGCCATCTTAATCATTGCGATGGCAGAAAATGGCGTGTAATGCCATCATTTAGTGTCAAATGTCATCGCAGCTGGCATCGCAATCATACCGGTTTCTACTGGCGTTAGTAGCTCTGGCCTTGGTGAAGTGGGGATGCACATAGACATAGAAGTATAATTTCAGTTGTGCTTGAATCCTCAGTTTTCACCAGTGCTCGCGTAACGAGACTCTGCCACATCTCCATGCGTTGATCGAGCAATTCTTGTTGGTGCTCTAATGCGTGGAATCCCGCTCACAACTAAATTTACCACTAAATAAAACAAAAAGAAATAAATAAACCACTAAATGCTCATGCCTCGCTTGCCGTCCCGTTCAATAAACAGATATTTCAGGCCATGGCGAAACCTCAAGTTTCGAAGTTGTAGCCTGGCAGAAAGATGCTGGATAAATTTTGCCCCAACCTGGCATTTGGCCGCCAGGCATAGAAGCCATGGGTACTCACGTGATGACTCGATATAGACCGTCATTCCGTTCACGGATGAAAAGCGGACGTTCTGCTCGACACAGCATAAGAGAATCAGGCACAAACAGATACACAACGACAGGTCATCATCAAGGCGAGAATCAACGCTTGCGCTACGAATACTTCCCATTATATGTACTCTTATTATTCTTTGTAATATTATTTTATTTTATTTTCAAAATGAAAGCAAAGTGAAAACAGAGCAAAAGCGGAGAAATTTCTCTCTGTTGTTTTGTCCCTATCGATTGCAACACTACGTATGATGCCGTTCCAGCACCGGTGTCCCACAACTCAACAGAAAGTGCGCATTTTACTCAATTTCTGTCCATGTCTTGATCGAACAAGATTACTGCTAGTTTAGTGTCTGATTCCAGCGACTTTGCTGAAAGACGCCCATCAAGAGTGCGTATCGCGTCAAAATTTGGCATGCTCCTGTAGCGGTGACCGACTCTTTAATAGGGATCATTTCTGTCAGTTTTCGTAAACCCTTGTCTATCACAGGCTCCTGCGACAGGGGACCCAAGAGATAGAACTTGGAAACCAACAGCAGGAGAAATTTACTTTTCCGAATTTCAGTTGTCTTTTGTTTCCTCTGCTGTTTCTGCTCTGAGCAGTATTTTATGCTGACTGAAAGCGAACTTAGCAACACTGCGGCAGCGAACGAAATGCATGTGCTTCGAGACCGGCACCCAACATCGCCAAACTAATGGATGTACCTTGCACTGTCATGTGACAAATGGCACGTTGTTAAGCAAATTTGAAAATTGCACGCAACTGTAAAGAGGATCATGGCGATTGTTCCACTGAGAAACTGCATTACGAACTCAGCAGTGATCAGATACCATGCTTGCGATATGCAGAAATCATCCTTTCAAACTGTACCACCAAAGGGTGTGACTTCAAGTGTAAAGTACTAACACTCTTCTGGGATGAACGGCATAAACCTCAGTACTGCGCTGCTCGATTGTACCATATTTCCTTTAAACCTGTGCCAGTTTCAGTAAGTAAATGTGCCACCACCGTGCCCAATAACACGTTAGGGTGGCAGCCCACTAGCGCATGCGCCAGCACCCCGACCTACGCAACACAATTCCGGGCATGTAGGAGACGGCTCCAAACGCCGGCAGAGTGACCCACATGAAGAGGCATGACGTGATGTTGATGAAGTTGTCGGGCGTCAGCTTGTCCCCGATGCCCCAGTACAGGCTCATGAGGATGAAGGCGAACACCAACTTGTCGCCGACGCGGGGGCCCAGGAACGTTGGGTCCTGGTAGTTCTTTGTGGTGCGATACTGTGCAGGCGCACCCAACGTGAGACGGTGGAGAACCAAGTACGCAGAACAAGGCGGATCCTTTCGAGCTGGTGTTGGACGCCCTATACACGCTATGCATGTTGCTACACATTACAGTATTATATATCAATAATGTAATTATGTGTGCCAAAGTTGTCGACGCACAAAATCGCTATTGAGCGGCAACAAAGCTCGCAGTCTCGATTGCGTTTTGGGAACCACCACTACGGGCGAGGCGCAGCCGGGGCCGCTGTCCCACCTTGATCAGCGTCCTGAGGCCCCACCAGAAGGGCGTCACCGTCGCTCGCCTCACAGACAGCTCCCTCAGCGTCTCCTCCGACACGGCCGCGCTTTCCTTCATCATGGCCTCCAGTGCCTCCTGTCCCTCGCCTTTCAGGGTCGACCTGTTGAAGGTCTCCGCCAGGGCGGCCCCTCCCCCCATGCGGTCTACGTGGACAATGACGTCCGTGATCCACTCCGCCTCGTTTCCCGAGTCCATGGCGACGCGGGGGCCCTTGTCGGGGACGGCGGACTGGAAGTAGGCGTGGGCTGCGCCTGGCACACGCGTGGAGACTCTGAAAACCTTGGTTGCACTAGCAGAAATTACCATGTTTGCGATCCCAATTGCGATGCCATTTTGACACCAAATATGCCACCACTGAGACGCCAAGAAAGTGGCCGTGATGAGTGTAAAATGAGTTTCAAATGCCATCGCAGTAAGCATCGCAAATTGTTGCTGTCCGCTGGTGCTGGGAGTCCCATCCGTTCCTTACGGCCTGATCACAGCGTGTTGTTTTCATTGTTGTGTGTAAACGCGTAAAAATGCGTAAACACAGACTGCGTTTGCACCGTGAGCATGGTGGGGGCGAAATGTGATATGCACCAAAGGCAGTTTTGGAAGCGCAGAAACACACAATAAGGAACCGATTGGGGGCAAATATTACTGAGTTACACGTAAGCATTGAGCGAATAGCTGGTCATGCAGCACCGCGCTGCAGCAGTGCACTTCTTCTGTGGGAAACTATTTGTGCTTTTGGCCCCCTATTTCTTCATCAAGGATGCTTCGTTTTTGTTAAAAACTGTGCCTATGAGCTTGGAGTATGCAGTCAAAAGATTAGGTCAGTCCGTTAATTATTGAGGATTTGTCATTATTTTGTAGCAAGAAATGTAACCTAGTAAACCTCGAACTGCTCGGTCAGAAGTGACCAAAATTTACCTTCCACCTGGCGCTCAAAAGCGTCGCGTCTCACTTTATCTTCATGAAAATTGCTGTTCAAGGTTTCGGGAACCCATATTTTAGATTTTGAACTCCTTCTGTGATTTCGAGGCTGTTCTTGCAGTGAAAATTGTCTCTCAAATAGTGTACTATTAATTCCGGACGGATAAAACAGTTGTTAGATTGCTATGATTTATTGTAATACTGCTGACTGCCGCTTTGATCGCATGGGCATGCGCGCTTGCGGTTATTGCTTTGCTCGCGCCATAGGGGCATCATTCAGACGTTGTGAGTTCCAGCGCGCGTCGGGTTAACTCCACGGTTATTGGCACATGGGAAGATTGCACATGGGTAACGTCGTCGCGTGCGTTCATATTGACTGCATGTATTGCCGGCTACGCTGTTACATGGTGGCAAAGAGAGCCCTTGTCGCCATGTCGAGCTCCGCCCAAGCGCAGCTCTACACTGGAGCCCTCCACCCATCCAGCAGGAACTCGAAGCCTAATTCCAGTGAGTTGATTAGACAGGCAATACGCTCAGAAGACAACAACGCATGGGATCTCGACCAGCGCAAGAATTGTAGCCATACGGAATTGCAGCAAAAGCGTGCTGAGCAAGCATGGGTATCAGATCGTCAAGCTGATTCAATGAGTTGCCTCGATGGAATCTGCATGTCTGAGAAACCTGCTCTGCAGGAACCAAACTGGAAGAGAGTTTGGACAGCGAGGAGAGGGAGCGGCTCACATCTGTCTCCAAAGTACACGAGCTGTCCGCGCACCAGCATGACCAGCCTGTCGAATAGGGCGAAGGCGCAAGGCGAAGGCGAGTGGACGGTGGCGCAGATGGTGATCCCGTCAGACGTGAGGGCCTTCACCAGCATAAGCACCTGAAAGGCACATGCGCAGGGCACCAGGCGCACCTCACATCGCCATTGCCAAAGCATTATACAACAATGCACAATATTTTGGTGCAATAATTTTTCAGCACGTGGGTGCACTTGTCCAAGCATGTTGGAATGGATGATCATTAAAGTTGGTGGAGTCCTCTAGACAGGGTCGCCGCGTCCCTCTGCATTTGTGAGGTTGGATGGTCCACCCGCGAATTGGTGAACGGACATTGGCTGCTTTGCGGGCATGGACGGGCGATAACGGGTATGATATTGCGTGGAATGACATTGCAAAACATGAATTAAAGTGTCGGGGATTACTTGGGCACCCTCAACAGACCAAAAAGTCTTATTGTCGAGTTGGATTGTCTCATTGAACTCATTTAGCAATTTCCATCGGCGAAACAAAAGGTGAACAGACTTTGGAGAAGAGGCCTGGCGTATTCTTGTCACACAGTATGTGCACGTACAACTGGCTCGTTCTCCAAGATTTGAATTACGTTGCAATTTAAGTGTAGTTCCCGGCAGTGTGGTGCACGAACATTGAAAAAATTTGTCCAGCCATCCAGCATCTCCCAGGAGTGGCGGCGCCGGTTGTGGTGTTTGAAATATCTGCAGATGATATCAACCGATCATCCCCGATATGCCGACGGTCACCTGCTTGAACAAATTTACTGTGAAAATGGTTCTTGCGCACTCTGACCTCGTCCGCGCGATTCGGGACATTCCATTGAAATTAGACTCATATCCTTTGAAACTAGGTATATATTGACAATACATACCATGAAACTGTGTGAAAACAACCTGTGCGAAATCTATACCAGTGGAGAGATCCCGCTTCCAGGGACACCAAGAAATTCACTGCAATGGGGCATCACGGATCATCATTTTTTAGACAGGCAATTTTTTCCATTGCAACAGTCTCACCTCATTGGCTGTGTATGAGTCCAGTCCTGTGGTGGGCTCGTCCAGAAACAAAACCTTGGGGTTGGTCACCAGAGCAATGCCAATGTTCACCCGCTTGGCTTGGCCACCGGAAATACCCTTCATGAGAGCATTTCCAATCCTGGTGTCCTTGGCACTCTCCAGGGCCAGCTTTTCGATGACGGCGCCCACCGCCTCTTTCTTCCTGTTGTAGGGCTCGCTCACGGGGCGCTTCAACTCCGCCGTGTACATCATCATCTCTTGCACGGTCAACATACCCAGCAGTGTGTCTGCCACACACAACCCCAAATGGCAACGTATTCCTTGAAAATCGAGGTTCAACATGTGCAACTATGGCCAGTGTCGTTTCTGCTGGCAACGGCATCCGCAAAATCTGGCGCCATACCAAACTGCTCCACGTAGCCGGTATAGCGCCTTAGAAATTTCTGAGTGGGTTTGTGAGCGGCGAAGAGAATTTCGCCTTTCGTCTCTCCGCCGGTTTTCCGGCCAGCCAGCAGGTCCAGCAGCGTGGTCTTGCCGCTTCCGCTGGGGCCCATCAGGGCGGTCATCTGGCTCGGCAGCAGGTAGGCGCCAACGTGCTTTAGGAGGGCCGTCTTTTTTCCCTTCTCCTTGCTGCTGGGCACCAAGTATTCGATGTCCTAAATTGCACCAAGACACATAACCCAATCGAATCGCGACTTTAATGCGACAACATTCTGGAGGCATTCCATCCAACCAAACCCTTGTAAGGCATCGATCGATCGATCGATGAATCGCTCGTCAAGTACCGTAGGTTTCTAAATCTTTCCGCATCGGAAATTTCACAATTACGCTTTTTCTCTTCGCATTTTGTTTGCCAGACAGTTGCTTTTATATTTTGACGTTGCTCTGCAAGAAAAAGAAGAGCGCTATTTTTTTTGTCCGCCAAAAAGGGGCAAAGCGCAAAGTTGCTATGCGGAAGGACTTAAAACCCACGGTATCTTATTAAACCATCAATCCGCACTTAGGCTACTTTCACGCATGCCAGGAAAGCATGCACTGAATAGGGTTCAAGAAAAAAATGCATCACGAAATCGCAGTCGGGATTAAAGTGTGTCCCATGGCTGAGCCGCGGCCTTTGTACCATTTCGCGCTCTCTGTATAGAACCTGATATGCGTGTTCCCTGCATGGCTGTCCCTCACTAGAAGGTGCACTGCCGTGATGTATCCTTTGGTGTACAGCTCATGGATGACATCGTTCCTTAATGTGAGGATGTATATCCCACCGCGAGGATATATACCCCATTATCTCCTATCGCACTCTCCAGAATGGAACCATTTTTAGAGCGTGACTGGGATTTTCAATCATCTATCACAATCATTACTCGCCCACCTCCCGGCATGCGGGACCACCACAATCGTGAGAATTTTTCCCAATCGCCATCGGCCAGCACTATAACAAAGGAGAATAGGGAAAGGCTGTGCGCACCTGCAACCGATATCAATACCAGAAGATAGATGCGCACATGCTGCGATTACGTACAAACGTTGATTTTATGATTTTCTGCTATGCTCGTGTCCATTTTGTTCCTGATTCATTATTTGCCACTTATAACGGACCAATTGACGGTGCAATTTTGCACTCCTTCCCCCCCTTCAGCGCCCCCAAAGACCCGATTCTGGGCCCCCGGCCCCTCTATTCCGTACCCGCCCACGCATGCCCAATTTTCCGATCTCGCCGATTTCAATGCGGCACGCCACACCCGTCCGTCACACCCCTCTCGACGGACCGCGTCCTTGTGGACAGCCATGAACCCACCTTGAACGCCACTTTGACGCCGTTCTCCACCAGCGCGTCCATGGCGGCCTGCTCATTGTCCGGCCCGTCGCCCCCGCCCACGCCGAAGCTGTTGCTGAGCCCCTTCGTGAGGCGCGCGCCGCTCTGGCCGCCCGCCATGGCTTCACTCCCGCTGCCAGCACGTCAAGCAACTGCGCTCGCAAACGCACAGACGGACGGTCGGCATCGACGCCTCGCCCACGTGCATCCGCCCGGGGGGAAAGGCGCTGGACTCAGCCGTATCTTCAGGGGCGCCGAAATTTTGGCTGCGAGCTGTGGCGGTTAGCCGCCCAGGCAAAGGGGGCGGAAGGCCCCAGCTGCCGGAGACGGGGCCACCGCAGGGCGACAGTGCAACGCCAAAGGGACCTCGACACCGTGGAGGCAACGCCATTCAAGCGGCGGCGCGCTGGGGCGACTGCGGCAGGAGAAGAAGGGCTTCGCTGCCGCTGGCACTGGACGATGCCACTCGCGAGCGACTGCGCTGCCGTGCGTGCCCGGCGGTGATCGCGCCAGCAGCATGACGCACCTCTTCTTGGTTGTTTGGACACTCTGCGGCAAAGGCGAACGCCGCAGCAGTTGTGAAGGGAGGGTCCTAGAGCCTCCGGGGTTCCTGCGAGCGTGATGGGATGGGGGGCGGGCGGATTGTAATGCGCGCACTCCGGAGCAAGGAACAGGATCCGGGCATCTGATTGATCCATGGCAATCCGGGGGCGTCACGTTATGCAGCTGCCGATGCGCACCACGTGTATGCTCCTCACCACGACGCCATCGCTTGTCAAATGGTGTAATGCGGCACCGCAACAGCGACCCGTCTGGAGTGAACCGCGAGTAGCGGCCTGCTGGGTGCGAAGAAGCTCCAACAAAGCCATATTTGTATATCTGGCCCCAGCGCTTTCGTGCGTTAGACACGGGCATGTGACATGCGGATGCGGCCACAGCACAGATACATAGGAGTACTCCCGTCCTCTCGGATGAACAAACGTGATGCTCGAATGCGGTTAAGAAGATGGCAATTCACATCAATTAAGACCATCCACGGCGTGCAAATGCACATTTTTATCGATCACTGGTAAAAGAAATGGTAGATTTATTTCATACTACAGTACATATGCAATACTACAGTGATATGTTTGATTGAATAGAGCGTATATAAACTGCCCCTCAGCATGGAATGGATCCATTCAACTAATTGAAATGAATTCATATATTCATTTACCCAACAGCAGCTAAAAACTCAAAATTACTAAGGCAAATAGATAAATTACGAGGGAATAATCCAAAAAACATAACTAATGCTATTCTTATAACTGCTCAAACCATTTAGCAGCTAAGAAACGCAACTAAGAAAACCATATTAAACTAAAGGCTCGACTTCCTTTCGCATTCAGCCGCATTTAAACAATCTAGGTCGTTTGGATTCAATTACGGTCAAATACGAGCATATGAGAAGCTCGATGTACGCACGCCAACAAGTGAAGTAGGCCTATTTTGATGACAAACTTCAACAAGTAAAGCACAAATCGATGGCAGCAACGCAATGATGTGGAATCCCGTATAATGTCCTTGGTCAGACGTGGTGGCGAATCCTACCATACGTTCCGCCGCTGCCGTGTTCTTGGAACTCTACACTCACGCACCTCCGCAGCTGTGCAAATCAATGAATCTGATATCCGCATTTCTGAGACACCCCACAACGAAACAGCCTCGGTTTTCATGTGGTGCTCAGGAGGTCATCGGGCAAGTCCCTGATTTGGGATTAGGCCAATTTTCCATGCTCTGTGTGTCGCATCTCAATGTGCCACTTGTCCGGTACAGGTTTGATCCGAACCAACGTTTTCCATCTCCAATCCTCTACTGGCATCGCCACCAGGCAGTCTGGAGCACGTCACCATCGCAGGGCTAGATCACTGAACTTGGGCCTCTAAAGCATTTGCTTACTTGGACCCGGCTCCCAACACACTGCCTTCAGTGGCCCTTGTAAACCCTCTTGAAAAGAAGCGCCCTGCCTGGTTTCGGCTCACGGCGCGGCGCCAATCTCTTGTTCAGCTCCAACCAAAATTGTCCGCGAGAAGGAATTCCCATTCGCCTATTTCTCTTGGGGAAAAGTCGTACTGTGATGGGAGCCGCGATGCCAAGGCTCTTGTTGCTCGTGGTGCGCCTTGGATGGAAGATGCGTCTTCCAAACTTTCTGAAATTTGTCGCCGCGAATTGCTGAACCAAATTTCGAATTCGCAAGCTGGCCGCACCAATTCCTCCAAATGCAAGTCATGTGAGAGGTCAGCAGCTCTGGTTGATTATCTGAATACCGGTGGGCGCCACATCTGTGCAGAACCGGCAGCGGATTATAATCCGCATTATTGTTAATTATATTTATAAGTAATTATAATCACATAATTATGTGATTGAAGCGGGTCCAAGCGGCTCCCACACTAATAGCTTCCGGTCCCGGCCAATTCCTATTTTACCGGCTACCAAAATCCATGTAGAGTGTGATGCCCGCATGCTTGCGCATTCTCTGAACATCCGATACTGTCTCCTGTCCAGCTTCCAGAGAATCCCTGCAGCACACTCGGCCCCGCAAGGAGGTCTCCGCCGCAGTTCAATTTGCCCCATCCTGTAACCTGCTGGAGGCAGCCCGAGACACCCCAATCAATAGGGATGAAGCTGCAAGATGCTGACCAGTAGCCTAAGATTCTTAGACTAAGAGGCAGTGTCCAGCAGGCCATGTGTCTCTGCAACATGTCGCCAGCATCTCGAGGGGGGTGAAAAATATCTCTCTTGAGCAGCGAAGCAGGTACACAGATGGTTGTGGGACATTGAGCAGCGTGGAGTGAGGAAAAGCGTGAGCGGCCAGAAGTGCGGGGCGCTCGTGAGATTGCGCGGTACAGGTAGATGTGTCGCTGGGTATCCCTTGCGATGTGTCCTGCACTTGGCCGCTGTTGCGTAGCGGTTTACATGAGCTCGCGTGAGCTCCCACAGAACGCACACACAGTGCACTGTGTGTCTTGCGTAGTACCACCACGCTTTCACATTTGCAATGCATGCAACGCAAAGTGTGAAATTGACGCGCCTGCTGAACCCGTCGCTATGAATATTTTTTGTGGGGTGTTGGACATTGCTGAATCTTGAATCGGCTTTTTCTAGACATCCGCACTTTAAATCTGATTCCCAGCATTTGAGTTCAAATTTCCCTGTTTAGTTTCAGGAATTTACATTAATTTGATTGCATCGATGCAATCGATTCTACATGCCAGTGAATGGTGCATGGAGCCACGAATGACATCCATTCCGTTATATAATAGTTGCAAGCTTATTGCGAAATTGTTTTAGAGAATGCATCATGTGCGGGTCCAATGTGTTTTCAATCTGCATCCATAAGCAATCTCGGCTCAGTTGCATGCACAAGTTGATTTTTAACAAGATGGTGGTAAGGCTACAAAGGACACAAAGTGAAGTAATAAATCTTGTGCAGATGAGAACCAGATATTTTTCGAAGTGCATGTGTCATAGGTGCTCCAGAATGTATTTCCATTTCCATAAAATCTACTGTGGTTGCATTTTCTTTTCTGCCATTGCACCACTCGCAAATTTACCATTTAATAAACAATCCATGGCTATAACACAGTTTGTGCCATGTGTTTTGAATGCATGCACATGCTGTGCAATATGGGTCTAATCGCTCCATATGGGGTTATTGGAAAATTGGTCTCTTGGGCCCATGACTACAGTGCCATGGAGTAACATTTCATTTGCAATTTTCTTTCCTGACATGCTTGATATATGCAATGAAGATAATCAAGCGTGCCCGGCTACCAAACGAATCATATCAAGACTCGGTGGTGCAATAGGGCACATTGATGTTCCAATGAACGTGGTTGAGGATGCTTGCATTCTTGCCTGCATTGAGGACTACTCCATTAACCCAAGGTACACAATAGCAATGGTGACCTTGTAGGTGTGCAGCCATATGCGCCTTTCATCTGTGATTGGATGACCAAAGTTGGTCAAAAGTGATGTGCACAATTGACAACACAACAATCATCGAAACTTAAAGCACTTAGCAGATAACAACCACAAAATTGTAGTATATTGAACCCCTCTGCAGTTTTGATTTTTCAACATTGCGATTCTGCCTTTGAAGCACGTGAAGATTTCTGAAGGGCTCGAGGGTCAAAGGCCGATTTCTCTACTAAAGCATCGCATAAATGCGAATCACATTTTGTTGCTAGAACATTTTTCCTCTTTTGTGCTTTCCATAATGAGCGCCGCCAGAAGAAATCCGCTCAATGAACATAGCCTCAAATGCTAGCTTGCCATTACAAAAGCTCAAGCAATTTGGGGATGTACGTTGTGGGCAGGACAACGACCCTTGTGTTAGAGATGGGATTATTCTACACTTTGTTGTCACCATAATGTTCCTCACATTTTCTCCCCAAAGGAAAACAAGTGCTACATTACAATGCAAAAATTTTGAATACACTACGATCACATGATGTCACATGTATCGTGCCTCGTGTGGTCACATTTTGCACATTACCCCCTGGTTAGGGGATGTCGCTGGCTAGCACCCGCTGCCTTGGTGTGATATGATAGCTGGTTATGTACCCATGTGGTTCTGCCTTTGTTAATGCAGTCGCAAATTAGAGTATTCTCAAATATTGCAACATCATAATATGATTGCATGACTCACACAGTCACGGGGGCGTTGGTCTTCCCATCAATACGCCGACCAAAATATCACAAGCTGGAATATTACAACAATATACACCAAAATGGTCCCTTACACTCTTTTTAAGCACATACAAGGGCAGCTCACACATTTTGTGAAAAATAATACCGCCACAGGGCCGGGTGTTGTTGAGCACAATCTCGGAGCGTCGCTGGAAACAGGCTTGATTTTTGCGTTTACGTTTACGTTTTTACTTTTACGTTTTTACGCGTAAAAACGTAAATTTGCAAAAGGCCCTATTTTTACGGCCATTTTTACGTTTTTACGGCTCCCTGGCACACGTAGATTACACGGCAAAAGTTGCGTACAATGATCAGTCCTCCGCCATCTCCAGCAACCGCAACACAATGTCCGCCTCGCCCTTGGTAAGGGCGATAATGGCGCAAAAAAA